TTTCCGCCCCCAGTAACAAAGCGTGTAGCATTTGAAATACAAATCACACAATACAGACACAGGTGAAGGTGTTCTCTAAGTGCACAAGCTGCCTGCAGAAATTTTCCTTCTTTTTTGCCCATTTATACTATTGATTTTCAAAATCAAAACACTCTGCCTTGAGCAATGTTAAGACGGTGAAAATCAGTGAAACTGGGTATATTTTTGTGAGCAAGCAAGAAGTGTCTATACTGTATATGTGAAGATCAAGGAGAGGGTTTGAATTGTGAGGTCACAATTAGGACATTTCTAAGCGCTTATTGCTAACTCCTTCATTTAGTGGTCAGGGGTCATATAAAGCGTATACAGTAAATACAGGTGTATGAGGTGGTCTTACTGAGCCTTAAAATACTATACTGTATACTGCAGAGCACTATTGTGTGTAATGAAATGGATAAAGTAGGATAAGGTTTTGCCTCCAAAGCAAACAGATGAAATGATATTAATCTATAAAGTGTGGGTGTAATTTCCCAAAGGGTAATACGATATTATTACATTCATCTTGAGTGTACAGATACACAATACATGATGATATACCATGACAACAACTAAGGTAAGACACAGCTGTATATTTCAAAATCTTCTCGCACCCTGGCTTTTCAATCTTATTTCCTCTCTCTTATACTTTATTCATAATTTTTTGCCTATATTAATGATAATCACATTACAAGTAAAGTGGGTTAAAGTTATCAGATACATTTTTCCCTAAGTAATGAGTGAACTAGGGCATTATTTGTTAAATATTATCCTAATCATATAATTTGTTTTCTTTTAGCTGCACAAGAAATTATAGAAAGGGAGGATTTGGGGTGGAATAAACACAACAAAAACTAGCACACACACACACACACACACACACACACACACACACACACACACACACACACACACAAAGCAAAAAAATAAGAAAAAAAACATCACAAAACAAAGCACAAAAATACAAAACAAAACATGTCAAGCATGCATGCCATTGTGGAGATTAATCAACTAATGATGAGGGGGAAAAAAATAAAGATATTTTTGATTATTTAATAAACAGTTATAAATTAACATACTTATTGTAACATGTTACGTTCAAAAGCAACATTCCTGAACACATTATAGTCTGTATAGGCCTGTTGTATGGAAGCTCCACAGTCTATAGGCATCTCAAGCAGGAATACGTCATGCCACTCCTGACCATAATGAATCACTGCTGAATGGATCAAAGTGCCAGATATTGCTGACATTATGAAGCATGGCGTGCTCCTGGCGAGTAAATCTCGCAGAGCTTCAAAATAAATGACCAACCACAAATGACCAACCTACAGGAACAAACTCACTCCCTCTCTCTTCCTCATTCTCCATCAAACAGTCAGTCAATCATACGCACATTTAGAAACACATCTGTTTCTGGATGAAACCACACAGATGTTTTGCATCTCGCCGTTTATTTCACAGGTTTTAGATGTTGCGCTGTGACTCTGAGGGCTTCTGTTTACAAGCTTTGAGGGAGATTTTCATCATAACACAAACATGAATTATGGCGCTCCCTACTGAGAAGAAATTCATATACTAACAGACAGATGTACACTGATTTATTACAAAAAAAATAAATAAAAAATGTTTTAACATGTGACTCTCCCTAGCTCAACAATATGACCAAGCAGGGGATTCAGACAAGATATAAACCTCTGCAAAATAATAGGGCATGTTTATCTTGAAGGGGAAAAGGCAACATGGGATATTATGCACTAGAATTCCTTAAAAGTTGTTTAATTAAACTAAAAAAATATTAGAATATGGATGCAGCTCCCATTAATAGTAACAGTTTAATAAATGACACTTTATTTGATCTTTTTAACAGCCTTTTTGTCATAAAATACACAAACCTTTCTGTGGGTGCCTGAATTCCACTCTAGGTTTCTAACTCACTGTAATAGTATGGTAATGAGCCTTAATTTTAAGCACAATATGAGGTTATGAGACAGCAACTTGTATCAAGCATGATGGGCTTGAAAGTCAATGCCTAATCATGTAATAAAATGTTATATTACAGTAATTAAAGAAGCCTGTTTTTACCTTGGGTTCCATCATCATCAACATCATTGTTTGAGCTCCAAACTGACTTGAGGCAACATCTTAAGTAACTGCTGACCTTAAAAATCAGAGTAATAGCTTTGTAATTGATAATGTCAAATGATCACGATTCACACTTTTTCCCTCCCTCCAAACAACCATTTTGTGCATTAATTAGTGTGGAATGCTTTCCAGACTTTCAGAAGAATATCAAAGGTCACACTACATAATGTCAGCCAGAGTACATGAGCTGTACAGAGAGATAGCCAGAGAATGGGAGCGTTTCAGAAGTGCTGTGTGAAAGTCATTGGAGTGGAGTGAACTCAGGCAGGGCCGGGCTGGAACAGAATGTGGCTGATTGACTGTGATCTGCAGGCGATCTTTCATGTGCTTTGAAGGCAGGGGAAGGGGTCTCGCTATATCTAGGCCGGCTGAAATTGATATGATGGGTTTCCCCTTCCTAGACGAGCAGCTTTCTCTCTCCTTTTCTGTTTCTTTTAATGCTCTACCTTCGGCAAGTACCCCCGTTTATCTCTCATCACAGCCGGACCCTTTTTTAATCTGCAGGCACTTGTGTTTATCTATTTTATTTAATATGTGCACATACAGAGGCTTTCAATTGACCAAAAGGTCTGCCTCATTGCATGGGCTACTTCATACTCCACATTTAAAAAAAAAAGCCTTTAACTGTGCTGTGGATCGCATACTAAAATAATATGTATTCTATACATACAGGTCTCTTATGCTCAACAATGCTGCATTTATTTGATTAAAAAAAAAATACAGAAAAGCTGTAATATTGTGAAATATTGTTATAATTTAAAATAAATATCTTTCTATCGGAATACTTTTTAAAATGTAACAAATTCCTGTGATGGCAAAGCTGAATTTTTGACATCCATTACTTCAGTCTTCAGTGTCACATGATCCTTCAGAAATCATTCTAATATGCTGATTTGGAAGAAATATATATATATATATATATTTATATTTATATATTCTTATATATATAAATATATATATAAGAAAAAAAAACAAAGAAATAAATGTTTAGCAACCAAATTAGTCAGCAACATTTGTTTTTTTAATTTATTGGGTATATTATGGTTATTAAATAGTTTATGATAATTTTAAGATTTAAGACCTAAACCCAAGATCTGGACCAAACACCAGCTCATCCATGTTGTTGCAGTGGCTTTTGTTACGCATCATTGTTAATTTTTAGTGGCTTGAAAATGCCTTCGACAACACTGCTGCACATAGCCTATATCTTGTCTTGCACACCCTCGTGCATTTTACCTCTTGTGTTTGATTAAATAAGAGGTAAGAATGGGGGAACAGGGCCCTGTGGAGAGCCAGATGCACAATTATTAACCTCTCTGTTGGATAGATGTCTATTTCACCACAGGCCTGCTGTGAAGAGCCAGCCAAGGTGGGCATCCAGACAAAGAATGGGCCAGAAGGAGAGAGAGGAACATTATCCTTGTGGCTGTAACACCCCTCTTTAGACACACACACAGCATAAACACATGAGCAGCACCTGATAAAACGTCCTTCATACTTTTACTGCCGTTCTTCACAAGAGTCTGTCAGGGTTTGTCAAAGTAAGTAGAGAAGCTGGCATCAGATAGCATTCGATATGTGCCAAGTCTAATTTAAATAAAGGCATATAACAACTAGCTAGTATGGATTTGCTTAATTATGCCGTGGATTTCATGAAATATTAATTCGGAGAGGACTTTCACGTTTTGTCTTCCTGAGCTGAGGAGTCAAAAGGTTCTATTTGCCCTCTTCTTCACACTTCTTATCAACTTCCTAAACCAACTCTTCAGACGTCGCTATAATTACTCGTTGTCTACACATTGGAAAACCATGTCCCTTCACAAAAGTCACTCAAACTAAACTTCTTGTCTCCTTTTAATTAGGCTATTAATATGCAGTTAGCTCATAAAGGCCACGGCAAAAGGTAGAAATGACATAATTGAGCGAGCCACATCCGTGAGTTCAGGCTGGCACAATTTTTTTTTTTATGTCTAATAATTACTTATAAACATAAGGAAATGGGATAAAAAAATGCAATGCATAAAACTGTGGCTCCTTTCAATCTAGCTGACAAAAAAATAAAATAAAAATCTAATGCCACCCTGAAAATGAATTAGGAGAGAACCTTAAGAAATGCTGATTGTGATTGACACAGAAGGTGATTTAAACTGATTTCGTATAGACATGTTAAGAAAGAGGAATTGTGTTATTGTGAAACTGCTGAGCCACATTTAATGAGAAGCTTCAATCTTCATACTGTGGCTCCTTCTGGATCTTCAGTGTTGTGAGAAATAAATTTCACCTGAGATGTTTGCTGTTGAATCCTGCTCAGACGCAGAGATTTAGTATGTTCTCAGAGATAATATATCAATAAAACATATGACTCTGTGACCCTAAACTCAAGAGACGGTTTTTAACCCTTATATTCAGTTTGGTTCTTAGAGACCCTAAGGCATTTTAACAGTTTAAAAACATACTAAACATTATAGCATCACATTAATTCTTCATGACTTTTGCTGATTAGGTTAAATCAGAGAAAACTAAAGTTCCAGATTTGGAAAGAATGTTTTTAGCAGCTACCAGCTTTTGACCAATGAGAGGCAGCATTTGCGTGTTGCTGACTGTGCCTATCGCTGTCCGCAGGTGTGTGTACTGTCGGGGTGTGGGCTGATGTATGGGCAGAGGCCTTGCTCAGGTGTGAGCTAATCGAGTGTCAAATGAGCCTGAGAGGAATCTTGCACTGAACGGTTCAACGATGCAGCTGTGGCCTCCTCCAAACTTGCACACACACAGACACACACATTCACTTTTCTGCACACATGCACAATGGACAACAAAAGAGTGGAGCTGAAAACATTCACCTGGATGCACACAGCAGTACCAGGCTGTCACCACACATGTGTAAGTAGGACGGTCCATAAGCATGAGCACTAGGAAATCTAAACAAAAGAAAAATAAGATTTGCGGGGAAGTCAGGCAGTTTCGACTTTTTTAATTCATTGAAGTGGCTTGTTACTTACACTTGAAGGAAACTGCATTGTTTAATATCTCTTTTGCCATTTTGCGCTCTGTCTGTTTGGACTGCTTGTGTTGGCGAGGTCAGGGCAGGTGAAGGTTTCTTCACCGGTGTGGAAGGGCCATCCGTTTGCGGCTGGTGATCTGACTGGCGACCGTCTCCTTGACCTGCCAAGGATGGTCGAGAAGGGACTTAGCAGAAACTATCCCCCAACCCCCCGCCTTCATTCTCTACCTCTCCCTCTATTGTCAGTCAACTTCTTTCAGCTCTTTATTCTTCATTTCGCTCCCCGGAGACAGAGAGACCTGCAGCAGCTGTGCCCCAGCGAAAAGGGAAAGATTTTAGAAAAGGACTGAAATAATACAAAAAAACAAAACAAAAAGAGAAGGCAGGGTGGGAGATCGACCGTGACCCCATAAGTGCCGCAGCATCGAACAGTGCACAGCAATTCTTATTCCACACCTGTTTGTGTGGTCATTCGAGCGTCGGTGTAGATTTAAATGTGAGGCGTACAGGAGTTTGATACCTCTGTCACCCCCAGTTAATTGTGCCTCTTTCCTTCTTTAACTGTCTGCTCTTCACAGATTCACTTTTAATTAGCTGCCACACTGGTGTGTCAATGCAACGGGGGAGATGTGCCTCACACACTCTCTGTCAGAAGAGAACGAACTGCATCCTGTCACGAGAGGCAAATACAGGAAGTCTGAAATTACGTGCGTCCTTCTTCTCAAAAATGATTCCAATTATGTTGTGTGGATTACATGCATGTGGAAGACAAAACTATAACCAAGGAATCCAAAAAATATAAATAAATACATCCACAAGTGAAAATATGCATGTCAACATGGTTGTTTTCTTAGTGAGAACTGTCCTCTAAGCATACACTTAAACAGCATTATGGAGAAATTAGTCATGTACCACAACCTAGCAAGCTGCCTCATCACCTTCATAGGAAGCAGCCTTCTAAGGTCATGGCACACAGGAACTAATATAAATAATGCTCATGTTAAACACACAATTTCAATACAAACAACATGAGTGTAACAATGCATAATCTGATAAGAATAAATGTAATTTCTGTATTTAAAAAATGTAATTGGTATAAAAAAAAACGCTTTGACAGATGAATGAAATGTTATCCCAATAAATAAGTCACTTTTCACATTTGCTTGTAAAGTAATTTTTTAGCAGCAGAAATAGATTGACTTGTGTAAATTGTCATATAAATATTTTGCCTTATCCTAAGCTAAACTGCTATTTATAGCCGTAACACACTCCTGTTAAAGAGACACTGTTGTATTTTGATGTATTCTATCAATAAAATCAACTTCAGACCTTTTAGTTTTTTATTTTATTTTAAATACAGGCTGCAAAAGGTAAATATACATGCATACAGTATTATTCATCTATCATATTAATGCATTCCACAATAGATAACAATTATATATTGTATATTCTGCTTCTAAACAACATTTCTACTACTACTCTGTCCACATTCTTGGTCTTGGAGCTCAATGCAATGAATTCTGGGATTGCCTTCTCTAAGAACACATGCTGGCAAAATGCTAAAAAAAAGAAGATGTATTATTTTTAGCATTTTGGCAACTTTGCATGTACTGTATTCTAAAGGAAGACAATCCAAAAATGCATTGCAATGAGCTCATGGCAAAACAAGGTGTCTTAAGAGGCAGCATAATTAAAGTCTCCCACCATTTGGAATGGCATTTATGATGTCTTAACATACTGCCACCGCAGGCAGCTCACTAGGTTTTGGAACAAAGCAAAAGAGGTGGTAAGACAGCAGGCTCAAGCACGTACACGTCTTCACACCTGACCTTCAAATCTCTTTGGTGTCTTGAAACCTTGTTGCCATTGTGATTATGTACCCTGAGCGTTATGATGAGCTGTAGAAACAAGTTATGCATGGCTGCACTGCACCACAGGTGTCCCTGCATTGAAGGATGTTAGTTTTCCCCACACATTCTCTGAAGAGGGCCCTCTCCATTCCCCGCAGTCACTTCATACACAAACACTTTGAATACTAATGCACGATGTTCCGCTCCTGTTGATCCAAATCCGCATATAGTTTATGAAAATCAATGTGTGCAACTGACCCCTGTCTGGCACAGATGGCTTGTAAGAGGTCTATTGGAATTGTTATTGATGGCACCTTAGTAATTAAGCCGTTAGATGCACACCCAGGATTTTATTTAGATGTCCTCACACGCCATCGTCTCAGAGGGGTTGGTTTTAGAGCTCTGACATTAATACATCCACAGTTCAATCAATGTGTAACAAATTATATTTTAGATACTGTAATTAGAAGTTTCCTCCGAGCTGCATCCTATTGAGTTTGCCTCACTTGTTTTGTTTTTTCCCCCCATCTCTCTCCCTCAATGCATACCATACAGCTTCAATTAAGAGTTCCTCTACTGGCAATTGGACAAGAGAGCCCGAAGTACAGGACAGAACATGTTTTAATAGAGTTTCCAATTAAGTGGTGTCAAACAACCATGTCACTGGTAAGCTCCAGTGATGGTGGCGGTGCGGGTATGAAAGTGAGAGAAAGAGTGAAGATAGAGGGACGACAAGAGAGGGAGAGGGAATATCAAAGAGCGTAGACTAGGTAATTGCATTAGTGGCCCATACACGTCTCATCTGCAGAGGGATTTAGGTTGTATTTTCAGCGGTGACAGTTCGCTAATGCTTTGACAGTTGCTCAGCCTTGTGACGCTATGCCACACTGCAACCAAGCGCTAAGGGGTAATCGAACAAAATAAATGATGATCTAACTGCCCAAAGACTTTCATGTCTCCGTTGTTTCTGTGTGCCATCCCAAATGAGCAGAGCAGCTATATTAAGACAACATGACCTCAAAACTGACCCTATATGGTTTATTTAATGTCTTTCTTACTGGGCATAAATCAAAAGTTCTCATTATTTTAATGAAGACTGTTAGATTTCATAATCTTTCACCAAAGGTTCTTTACTACTGACATAATCAATAAAACATTCTAACTACAGTAACTCCCACCTTTCACAACAAAATCAAATCCTGCTATATATTTTGCACTGAACATTTTACTCTTTACTTGGAAATGTTTCATATGCACATTTTGAGCAGATGAAATAATGTAGTTAATAAGTTGAAACGTGGAAGTTGTCAAGCAAACATTTAGGCTAGCATTTATTCTAAACTAAAATGCTGATTTTTATTCCTTACATGCAACTTTTACCATTTTTTAAAAGGATTTTGAAAACCCGTGTAGATCAAAAGTTTTTTTTTTCCTATAGTAAAACATTCGCTACAAAAGAAAACACTGCAAAATACTCAATTATTATTCTATAATTTTTACACTCTTGAAAAATTTCAATGTTCAAAAAGGGTTTTCATAAACTACGAAGAACAATTTTGGGTTCCACAAAGAACATTTCAGTGAGCAGCTCTTAAAATAACAATTTTTGTCTCAGAATGGATAACTTTTTAATAATCTAAACTATAAAGAACCTTTAGTGCATTGAAATGTTCCATTGATGTTAAAGTTCTTTATGGAACCATTGATGCCAATAAAGAAACTTTAGTTTGGAAAACATGTGGATAAAAGACTAAGGTAAGAAATAGGTCATGATGGAAAATTATGTTAAATGCTTTGCAAATGTCATATTTTAAACAGCTACATACAGTATGTCCTTTAATAACCATATATGAACAACTAAATGAAGTGGAAAGTTGTAAGTCTCTTGACTGACAAAGGACTCAAACAGCTCAAATGCTGTTTGCTAAATGTTGAGAAAACGGTGTACATTATAAGAAAAAATAATAATGCATATCAACAAGAGCTGCAGCTCAAAATAGTCATGGAAAATGAACATGTTTCACACTGACAGTAATCCATTTGTGCCATGCCTGATTTGAGGTCCACCTCCAACAGACATTACCTGGGTGGGCTCAGTAACACCACACCCTTTTTTGAGAGGAAGTGTTGTTTTTCAACTTGAGCCCCCGATTGCAGTGGCAAACAGCACTTTTATACCACAGCCTATAGTGGATCTGTTTAATACACTTGGCTGACTTTGATAAAGCATTGCACAGAAAGCCTGGCTTGCTACCCAGCTTTCTTCCCCCAGTTAAATTCATGATATGCCTATTCAGCGGAATTACAGCCATGCTTTCAGGGCAAGAGAGACAGGAACACGGGCAGAGAGAGAGAGAGAGAGAGAGAGAGAGAGAGAGAGAGAGAGAGAGAGAGAGAGAAGATACAGCAAGAGAGCCTTCGGCATAGTTCTCAGAACGTGACTTTAATGGTGCTGCAGCATGGTAAAATAAACCCTGGCCTCTTTTCCCCATGTTTTCCCATCATGCATTGCTCTGTAGCTATGAATGGCACATTACAACACAGAACAGTGTAACAACACGCATAAATATAAATTCATATTTCCATTGATTTTTATATCTCATACTAGGTCTTGAAGGCAGGGATTCTCGATAAAGAGTTAATAAGTACTTTAGGTAATAAATACAAATGAACATGATATGCCTAATAGAAATTTCAAATCGTCCTTAGGCTAGATGGCCAACTTTGAAAAATAATTAAAATAAATAAATTAAACAATCTGTATTAGCCATTTGCCAGGACCCTCCTAGATCTTTTTATGATGAAGTGAGTCAAGACACAATTTAATCTCATTACACTCTAAAAAATGCTGGGTTGTTTCAATCCAACTTTGGGTCAAATATGGACTAACCCAACTTTTGGGTTAAAAATGTAATTAAAAAATTTAACCCAACAGCTGGGTTAGTCCATCTTTGACCCAAAGTTGGGTTGAAACAACCCAGCATTTTTTAGAGTGTAGTATTGTAGGTATGAATATGTACAATGCACAAACATTACATACTTTTAACTTTATTTATTTTTTACAGTCACTGACATGTGAGTGAATGAATGAATGAATGGATGAATGGATGATGCATTTATATAGCGCTTTTATTGTGTATTGTTGTACACCCAAAGCGCTTTACAATCATGGGGGGGGGGGTCTCTCTTCAACCACCACCAGTGTGCAGCATCCACTTGGATGATGTGACGGCAGCCACAGGACAACGGCGCCAGTGCGCTCACCACACACCAGCTACAGGTGGAGAGGAGAGAGAGTCATAGAGCCAATC